TGTGGTGTTCTTCCTGCTTCTTTTCTCACCTGGGACCATAATCCTCTGTGTCACGATGCTTGGTTTACGGTGATGACTCATGCTACAAGTCATGGTTGAGATTTTGCTGGGGAAAGGAAACAGGCAGGCCACCACTGACCCTGGAGTCCATAGACAAGGCTCCCTTGAAACTAACACTAGCACATTAAAATGTTGAAGTAACTCGTAGAGCTGTAGTCTTTCTATGTCCAAGGATACAATATTAATTCATTTTGCTGGATCCCTAAGTAGGTGGTTCTTATAGCCCCTTTGGGTTTAAATTAGCTGAGAACTGTGTTTGTGTGTGAGAGTCGTCATTGGTGATGACAGTAACTTTAGCAGGAGTTTCTTTTCATGCCTAATTATCTTCTCATGTTTCAAAGTTAGAAAGAAAAGGCAGCAGTTGTCCCAATGTCGCAGACACTTTCTGATGATGTTTGTAAGCCTACTCTGTACCCCGCTGGGAGGTACACTTTTTAGGGCAAATCTGGCTTCATCTTGTATTTCCAGTGCCTGGCACGTAAAAGTGTTTGAACCAAATCCTTGAAGCCATCATTTCTCTGTACGTGTCTGCCCTCAGGAATGTTCAAAGGGAAAACATGTTTACATCAGCTGCAGAAAGATTATTTTTGAGACATACCAGTCAGCCCTTTACAACTGTAATCCCGAATGTCTGCACTTCTCAATTCCTAAGAGCAGGAGTCACGCTGCCCTCACCCTGCCACATTCCAGGGGAAGGCCCCCTGGGACCAGCTTTCCATGTGTTTGGGAAACTGTAAGTTCTGAAGCAAATCAGCCCGAGAATTGGGCATGGTTGGATGATTTTAGCTGTTCTCAAAATGACTGTTTCAAAGCCCAGGAGATTTTACAATGCAGATCCACACAGTAGCTCCCCAACCAGGCCGCTGGGGAGGGGAGAAAGGGCAGACCCTGTTTCCTGCATCTGCCTCTTTTCCTTTCTGCACATAGTTCATTCTTTTTTACATTTTCTACTTCTCTTAATAACGCATCTTTTTGAAAGTGTAGAAGACGTAAATGAATTTTTCTGTGTTTTTAGCTATTGTCTTGTCTTCTGTTTGACCAAAAAGTCCCCAAACCCAAAAGCCCCCAAACAGGCGAGCAACCTGTTTGGATATTACGCATTTTTGCTTGTATGTGCCCAAGACCATCACTTGACCGAGGAGCATGGAGCTGTAGGAAGACTGAAGTTTTCAAAATCCTATTCCATTTTGTATGATTTGAATTTTTACCCTATGCCTGTTATTACTTAAAAGTATAGTTTATGTAAGTTTCCTGTCACTCCTTATGTATTCAGAAATTCTTTTAATTTTTGAAGAACTGAGTTTTAATCATAAGTAAAATAAGTCTTGTAGAAGGGATCATTTGATTTTTTTTCTTGTTTTTTGATAGGTTACAGGGTTAGTCCAGAAATGGGCTTAAAAATAAACTTGCTACGTTGGGATTATGGCTTTCTTTCTCTTCTCTGCCCTTTGGACTAGGAAAATGAACCTAGCCCTGATTTCTGAGATAATGCAAGCTTTCTGGGCCTATGTGAAAGGTGATGCTAGAACACACCTGTACTGACATCACATGCTGTGTGGCATGCCGGGGCTTTATTGTTTATGAACTACTTCCGTGAGGTGCTGGAATTAAGTGAACTAAAAGCACATGGACAGAAACACTGAAAAACTGAATTGATGCTTAAAAGTTAAAACCCACAAACGTGTTCTGGTTTGGGATTTCTTAGGGTGAGACATTAATGGATTGTGGCTTTTACTCTTGTTATCAACGTATGCTTGTGTCAAATATCCCTTGCTTAAACTGTTTGAATTATTAAGGATAATATTGATAGTAGAAGACACAATTCCTGCCTTCCTTTCTAGCTTTAATACCCAGCACAGATTTTTTAAAATTCTGAACATTTGCATGGGATGCTTACCTGCCTGTGGTTCAGTCTGCCTGAGTAGCCCTGCGGCTCTTCTTAACCACCTGGTGTTTGGTTTTAGCTTTGCTTTTGAAAATAAGCGACTTGACCAGTTGGTGAAGTGTCTGTTCACACCTCCTAGTGGTGTTGGAAGTTTCCAAAATAAATCCCACTTTAGTGCCTGGGGATTGAACTTGTGCATCAGATAATAATAGGCCCTTGGAGGATTCTAGAGTGGTTGTAGCTTCGCTCAGAATAAACAGACTTTGGCACTGATTTTTTTTTTTTTTAAGATTTTTATTGGGGAATTGGGGGATGGGAACAGTGCTGGGGTAACAGTATTGGGGGAAGGGGAACAGACAAGTTGCTGTCGTTTTGTTCTTCAGTCTAGTTGTGGAGGACATTGCTTCACTGGCCCAAGTTGGCACCATCATTGCGCTCTTCCCGGGCGAGGCAGATCAGTCGCCGGCTTCTGGATGGCCGCTCACTGCGGCTGCTGGCCGCTCACGCTGGCTGCTGGCTACATACGGTAGCCCATGGCAACCCACTGCCACAGGGACTGCAGCCTACGCCGTCGCCCGCGACTCAGGGCAGCCCAGCTCCAGGTTGAGCTGTTGTTCAGCATCTTAGCTGTGGAGGGCAGTGTCACTGGCCCTCATATGTGGGATCCGAACTGGGGCCCTTTGGCATCCCAAGCGAGTTCTTAACCATCGCGCCACTCGGCCGGCCCTGGCACTGATATTTTTGGAAAGGTGGGCCTGGTCCCAGGAACTGTCAAGTGGCATTCTTTGAAAGTCTGTACTGCCTTCGAATCCCCTGAGTGGGCTAACAGGAGAGGCTGTGTGGAAGAGCTGCTAGAAGGCCCTGGCCGGCTCTCCTCCCCTGGGTGGAGTGGGTTAACACTCTGGTTGTGGCCAGTGTGGTCATCTGAGCCTCCACAGCAGCATTTGCTTTCAGCAACTTCCCCTTTTCAGGTGCAAACAACTGATATTTACAAAAGCAAACCATCCTTTATCACCAAGGCTACCATTTAGCATGTGACTCTCAGAAGAGAAAAATACAAATAATCCTCTCAACACCTAAGTGACAAATATGCGAAGTATTCCAGGCCAGGTCCTGGAAAATGTACTGGAAAGTCACTAGGCTAGCAGGGGCGAGGTTGTCTTTAAGGACCTTGCCATCTCCCCTCCCTCTCCTGCTGTGCCTGTGGTTAAAACCATAAAAGATTTCCCCTCAAGGTCCAAAATCGTAGCTCACATATTTTCTCAGCTCTTAGCTGTGTTTTGATAATGCAGTTTAAGTTCTTCTTGATGACTTTGTACACGGGGCTTTATGAAATCTTATGATTTATGACTGATGGCAAGCTATGGTAGGGTTTCCCTCCTTTTATCTTAGGATATTTAAATTAGAAGCTTAACTTTTCCTCAAAGGGAATTTAAATCTGAGCCCTCCTCTCTGTGTGTTACGAAAGGTGACCCATCAAAGATAAGTTGAGGGGCGGGGTGCAAAGCAAAAATCTTGGTGTAAGAGACACAGTGGGAGCTCTGGGGAAATGCAGAGCTGATTCAGAATCCAGCTATGCCCCTTAAAGTTGTAAGACTTGTACCAATTACCTCACTTGTGAGACTCAATTTCTTTATCTGTAAAATGGGTATAACATCCCATTTTGGGATAAAGCAATGTCATTCTTGTGAGACTTAAATGGGGATGTTTCTAAGCTTGTATAGTGGCAGGTATGCTGTAGGTGATATTTAAGTGTTAGGTTTCTGCTTCTCTCCGCTCCTTTCCTTTAAGTGTAGAATGAGCTTATAATAGTGGGGGCAGTGATCTGACCTGTGAGCAAGACAGGCTGAAGATGAAAGAGGAAATTGTGTTTATTTGGGCAAAACCATCATTTCCTTTAAAGCCCATGGCCCTCAGCTCTTAAATAGGTCCCTAAAAAGAACATCAGAATGTGGGTTTGTCAGTTTTGGGGGCTGGCTGTCAGATGACCATGTCTTTGGAGCTGTTTGTTCTGTAGTGGTCATGCTACTAATCAGGCTCACATTCTTGCAGTTCACCAGCTAGAAAATGCCAAAGAGAGATTTCCTTTTTCTGAAGTTTGTCTTTCAATGGAGTTGACTGATATATCACTTGCCATATCACGAAGTAATTTGCAAATGACCAAGTGAAATACTTGAATAGTGTTTGAAATATTCCTGTTTCTGATTATTAAGCTAGGGAAGAATGCCTGTTTCTAATCTCTGTCTTTTTTTTTTTTTAATTGTGGTAAACAATTGTAATGTATAACAAAATTTACTACTTTAACCATTTTTAAGTGTGCAGTTCTGTGGCATTAAGTACATTCATATTGTTGTGCAACCATCACCGCCATCCATTTCCAAAACTTTTATTTTCCCCAACTGAAACTCTCTACCCATTAAACACTAACTACCTATTCATTGCTTCCCTCAGCTCTTGGCAAGCACCATTCTCCTTTCTGTCTCTATGAATTTGACTACTCTAGGATCTCATATAAATGGAATCATACAATACTTGTCACTTTGTGACTGATTTATTGCACTCTTTCAAAAAACATGTGTATATATTTTTACTCTGTTTCATATTTTTCCATTACTCCCTGGCAGAGACAATTCTACAAACTCGCTTTTCTCTGTGATTTACTTATAAATTTGCATTCTGCCTCCTTAACTATTTGTATATGATCCTTGCATTTTTACTCTATTGAAGGAAAATACCAGTCATAGGAAATGATTTGATGAAATGTTTATTTTATTTATTTTATTTTTAGAAATAGCTTTTCATTGAACCAAGATTTTAGGTGACGATACACTAAGTACAAAACCAGATCCTCTTTGCCTAGTGGGTGTCTTCTCAAAAATACAACTACAAGTTCTGTCCTTACCCCCCCACCTCACCCTTCACGCCTCAAAGAAGAGAACATAAGAATGTGTTTGTCTAAGAAGCCGATAATAGCAGAGAGGCCAGTAGTGGGGATTGTGAACGTTGTTTTAGCCTCTTCAATTCAAAGGTAACCGCTCTGCCTTTCTCCTTGTAGGTGGTATACCTTGAAATCCAAACCAGGAAAGAAGGATAAAGAGCGAGGAGAGATTGAGGTTGACATCCAATTTATGAGAAACAACATGACTGCTAGCATGTTTGACCTTTCCATGAAAGACAAGTCTCGGAATCCGTTTGGGAAACTGAAGGACAAGATCAAGGGGAAGCATAAGGATAGTGCATCCGATACCGCTTCAGCCATCGTCCCCAGCACGACACCCTCCGCAGACAGTGATGATGAATCGTCTTCAAAAGACAAGAAAAAGAAGTCAAAGATTAAGACCTTGTTTTCCAAGTCTAATTTGCAGAAAACACCGCTTTCCCAGTCCATGTCTGTCCTGCCTACTTCAAAGTCAGACAAAGTTCTGCTTCGTCCTGGAGACTTTCAGTCACGGTGGGAGGATGACGACAATGAGGATGAATCCTCCTCTGCCTCGGACAGTGAGTTTCCTCCTCCTCCTCCTTACTTGCCCTTTCTCTCTCACCTTAACTTACTTTGCTTTGAGAGAGAGAAAAAAACAACCAAATCTTAAGATTTGTTTAATTCAGCTTCTCAATTACTAAAATGGTGTTGTTGGTTGTGGTGGTGGAGGTGGTGATGGCGGCGGTGGTGATGGTGGTGAAGATGGTGGTGAGGGCAGCGGTGGTGATGGTGGTGGTGATGGTGATGGTGGTGGTGAAGGTGGTAGTGATGGCGGCGGTGGTGATGGCGGCGGCGGTGGTGATGGTGATGATGGTGGTGGTGGTGGTGATGGTGGTGGTGATGGTAATGATGATGATGGATTATTTGGTTAGGAAGCCGTCTCTATTTCTAAGACCTCTGATTTCTAAGAATATATAAATTCCTTTTCCAAAATGGCTCTGTAACTGATGTATGTTAGTACAGGCTTCTGGAGCTAACAGAATGAGTACATCCAGGGTTTTTTAAATTAAGGGTAAAACCATGGAAACTTACTATAATTCTGACATTTTATTAATTCATCAAGTATTTATTGAACTCCCAATGATGGAAGTAATCCTCATGGGCTACATCCCTAATGAAAGCTGAGGAATCCAGTTCCCTGCACTCTGAATTAACAGCGTATTTTGAACTTCGATTTCAGTGACCAAATCTCTACTATTGGCCGGGGTCTGCTGCTCTACCAAGAGTGCTGCCCTTTTCACTGGTTAAATGAAGGATTTCTCAGCCTTAGCACTCCTCCTACTTGGGGCCAGATAGTTTTTTGTTGTGGAGGGCTGTCCCATGCATTGTGTGACCATTAGGAGCATCCCTGGCCTCTGCCTGCTGGATACCAATAGCACACCCCCACCCAGATGTGACCATCAAAAACGTGTTCAAACAGGAAAAACACCAACCCCCTCCAGTTGGGAACCGCTCGTTTAACTTCTTATTCCCCTTTTTCTGGTTTTCTTCCCAGTCATGTCTCACAAGAGAACAGTAAGTGCCGATCCTAAGCAGCAGAACCAGATCAGCTTCACGCTTCCCAAGAAGGAAGGCCTTTCCTTTTTCGGCGGCCTTCGGTCTAAGAGCGACTCCCTCTCCCGCTCTAACGTCTGTATCAACGGGAACCATGTTTACATGGAGCAGCCAGAAGGCAAGAGTGAGACCAAGGACAGCACCCCTTCTTCTTCACCATCCCCCCAGGGCTTCAGGAAGAAGCATTTATTCTCTTCTACAGAAAACCTGAGTCCTCGGGCTTTGAAGGAGCCTGGGGAAGGAGCTGCAGTGTCTTCCGACAGGCGGCTCTCGGAGTCTTCCACGAAGAACTCGCCGAAATCCATGACTCTGCCGCCTTCCTGGCCACCGGTCAGTGGGGACATTAGGGAAAACGCGGCCCCAGCGAAATTGGAGGCTGTGAAAGAAACCAAAGAGAGCAAGAAGCATGAAAACAAGAAGTCCTCTTTGCTTTCTCTGGTGACAGGAAAGAAGGACGTGGCTAAGAGCAGTGAGGGCGAGAGCTCTGCTGCTGTCCCTGGGAAGGAGAAGGAAGGCGTGCTGAGGGAGAGTGGGCTGGGGCCTATGGAAGACCCTGTGAAAAGATCTGAGCAGGACCCTACAGCCGTTGCCGCTGGACGGGATAAATCCCTGAACCCCTTTGAAGAAGTGCAGATCACAAAGCCGGAAGCTGACCCGGAGCCCAAGTCCGAACCAACACCACCTGTTCCCTCTGTAAGGGCTCCCCGGACGAAAGCCGTGAAACCTCGGTGAGTCTTGGCCTTCCTCATTAAATAATCAGACCTTGGGGGGATGCCATGGTGTGTAGCCGACTCTGAGTGTTGCAAGTTGGGAATACCAGGTTTTGGGTGTGGTGTGTGCAAGAGCTGTGTTTATTAAGTTTTCACACATTTCCCATTGAGACTGATGTTATCTTTCCTTCTTGCTCTTTGGCACTGGTTTGCTGTCATGAGAGACCCTTGGTTCACTCTCAGGCGCCTGTGACAGTTCTGTCTGTGTTTACTCTGCGCCTTGTTGCAAGACCCTGAGTGAGTCCTGGGGTTTCTGCTTTTCAGCATGATTCACATTCACATACAGTATTTCTGTGGTCTGGAGTGGGAGAGACTTGTTTTTGAGATTCTGCTTACTTTGATTTCACACAGACTCACATAGACTGTTCCTCTTCAGAATCTGTGTGTGTTGCCTTGTGGGGCATCTTTTACTGCTTTGAACTTTTTAGATGCTTTTTGTGTATCACCAAAAGGAACTGTAGGCTGTTGCTTTACCTGGATCTGTCTGTTTCTGTTGCAAAGCCCTTTCTGTGGCAGATGTGCTTGGTGATAAAAGTGTCCCTTTTGTATTTTAAGTATCGGTGTTCCTCCTTTAACTTCTTAAGGTACTGCCTCAAATATAAAAATCAGTTCTCTCCTTTTGGACTTTATTTTTACATGTTTGTTGCCTCTCATGCAGCATCTGCAACTGACCTGCAGATCTTATTTTGTCCTTTTTGCAGACTGGAAGTGTCTCCAGAGGTTCAACCCACAGCCCGGCTTCCTTCTTCCCCTGACGCTCCTGTCTTTTTTCCTGCTCTTCCTTCCGGTTCTGGGCAGATACCTGTCCCTTCTCAATTGGGGCTTGAGTCAGAGACACAGTCCTCAGAATCTCCTTCTGTCTCCTCCTCTGTCCCATCGCCCATAGCAGCTCCCATTTCCACATCCACGCCTATTAAAAGCTGGCCTTCCGTCGACCAGGGCCAGGCTGGTTCTGAAGAACCGTCTTGGCTCCTTAAAGCAGAGTTGCGAAAGGAGAGTTTAACACACGTTCCAAATGCTGTTTCTTGTGCCTTGGGAGCACTTTCCAAACAGAGCCCCATTCCAGTGTGTAAAGCGATGGAAGATTCACCAGTGAGGGCGACCAGTGAGCTAGACACAGAGAAGAATTCCAGTGGTGATGACTCAGAAAAGCCTGTCCTGAAGCAGCCTGAAATGGGGCAACAAGAAGAGGAGCTTCTGAGGCTGCCCCCCGAACAAGAAGAAGACTGTAGCCCTTCACCCGAAGATGTGACATGTGCCCTTTCAGTGAGAAGGAGCAGGATAGAAAGCCCAGCTGAGAAGCCTCCACTAGGGGTAAACATAGACTTTGAGAGTCAGTCTGGGTCTTTTGAGGGGAACAAAGCTAGGGTTGGCGGAATGACTTCTGCAGTTCAACAAGTGGTACCTCCTCTTCACATGGGAGAATCGGTCCCCACACTTGACTCTGTGATGTGGAGACCTGAAGAGGTGGGTTCGAATGTCAGTGAGGGCAGAAAGAAAATCAAGAAGCATGTGTCCTTTTCTGAGCAGCTCTTTGTGGAAGAGGAAGTGGAGAAGGCCACTGGACTGGTTGAAGAGGACGAAAGTGAGCCCCGGGAGCAGAGGCGCGAGGGGGCTGCCACTGGCAGTGTGTGTGACAGACAGCCTGCTGAGCCCGCCCACACAGGAGACTCTGAGGAGGAAGCTGGGACCGAACACAGGCCGCTGGACTCTGGTGGACCAGCTGCCACGGTGGACCACCTTCCCCTCCTCTCTCATGAGGAGAATGTCTCAGAAGGCCCAGTGAGTGAAGCCAGCTCAGGGAAAAGCATTCCACTCTTTAGGACTGAGGGAGACGATACCCTTACGGCTGAAAATCAGAGCAAAGCCAGTGATCACGAAGGCCTATTATCTGATCCCCTGAGTGACCTTCAGTCGGCCTCAGATGTTAAATCTCCAGTCATGGCCGATCTGGACTTAACCCTTCCTTCCATTCCTGAAGTTGCATCAGATGATGAAAGAGTAGATGCGGTTGAAGATGACAGAGAGAGGGCAAAGGTGGCAACTCGGAAAGTAGGAGCTTCTTCCTCGAGCCCGTTGCCTACCCAACCTGAGAAGGAAAAAGTGTCGAGTGGCGAGGCAAACGGGTTGGCAGTGCCCGCAGAGAGCCTGCATGACCTCAGGTCAGAAGCGCCTGAAGCACCTGTTAGGGCCTCTTCAGAGCAGACTGCAGCTTTAGGAATTCACAAACCATATCTTGGCAAGAGCTCACACTTGGATAAACAGCCGCCAGGGCCCGGCGATGGTGAGGAGGAAAAACTGATGGGGAATGGGAAGCCAAGTCGGCCTCCTGACGTGACCCTGGGTTCTCCCATCTCCAGCCCCTCCTTTTCTGAGACCTTTCCTGCCACACACTCTTTCCTCGGCTATCCACACTCTGACACTCACCACACCAGTACAGCAGAATCTCATAAAAAAGCAACAGCAGAGGGCCTCCCTGATAAAGTGGAAAATTCTGGCAAGAGGAAGCCGCTTCTTCAGGCCTGGGTCTCACCCTCGGAGACACATCCAGTCTCAGCTGGAACTGGGTCAGCCAAGCACAGGTGAGAGTCGGAGAAAGTTATCTTCATAAATGTGAGCAATGTCCCTCTTTGCTTTTTGCCTGCAGAGGTTATGGCTTTCTAACTGCACACGTGTTCTGATGGTACAAACTACCTGTTTTGCTGGTAGGACCTATTTTAAAAGGGCTGTCTCCTGTGGTGGAAATACCTCAAGACGCTCCTGTATTTGCAGCAAGAATGTAGTAGTAGTCTTCAAAAATAGTGTAGGGATTGTTCTGCACAGTCAGAACTGCAGCTCTCAAATTGCAGAGATGTACTGTGACCAGTATTGTAATGGTTTTAGAAACCAACTGAGATCGAGTGGTAGAACCTAGCAGTGTTCAAAGCTTCCTTTAAGCCCTGCCAGTGTGAAGCTGGCATGTTGGTTCTGAACTCTTTCTTAAGTGTTGAAGAACAGAAGGCTCTGCAGGGACTCCCACAGTGGAGTCCTAGGCTGTAGTTGCCTCCCAAAATAAGATACTGTCTTTAATGTTCTGACATCGATAACAAGGGCAAGGGGCTCATGAGAATGTCAGGACACCTGGCCCTAAGGGTGTGCTTTGTTGGCTTGCATATGGCTGCCCAGTGCTGACTGCTTTCTTTTCCACAGGAACGTTGGCGTGAGTTAGAGCGGGTCACCACTCTTCTGCTGGTGTCCCTAGTTGGCTGCAGTCTTAGAGATGAGCAGTTTCTCAGTTTTGCCGTTAAAGAAAGGTCTAAGAATCTTTCCCCCCTTCTCTTTAGACTTCATCCTGTGAAGCCAATGAACACAACAGCCACCAAAGGTGCTAACTCCAGCTTGGGAACTGCCACCATCATCAGTGAGAACTTGATCAATGAAGCCATAATGAAGGTATGTCTTCTCCAAGAAGTAGGCATGTTAGTTAGGGATCTACTAAAAATTCATTTCTAGAGTCAACATTGTATACATCTCCTTGGGCAGCAGGTAATACCAGGAGGGACTTAACCATACATCTCGTGTCTTTGGAAGCCCCTACATTTTCCACTGAATAATTACTTTTCCTTTATGGTTATTGGGTTGTTGTTGAATTTTTTTGTGTTTCAAGTAACACGATTGGCGTCGGTGCTTCTCTTTAATGAGAAGAAAATGTCACCCACCATCTGGCCCATTCAAATGAGATATTTTCATTTTGCCATGTACCTTTTCTTATCTTTTGGCAAGAATGTAAAATTCTTGTAGTTGTAATAATTTCATAGGTATATTTTTTTGTAACTTTATTCTGAAATAATTTCAAATTAAAAACAAAGTTGCAAGAATAGTACAAAGAACTCCTGTACACCCTTCATCCCACGTCACCAGTTGTTAACATTTTACCAGATTTGCTTTTTTCATTCTCTTCCCTTCTTTCCCCCTCCCTCTTTGTAATCTTTTTGTATATTCATCATTTTTTTTCCTGAACCATTTGAGAGTAAGTTGCTTATATCATGCCTTTCTTACCCCTAAATACCTAAGTGTGGAATTCCTAAGAATAAGGACATTTATCAAAATCAAGAAATTTAACACTGATGTGATACCCTTTTCTCATTTATAGTCTATATTTCAATTTCACCGACTGTCCCATTAATGTCCTTTTTAGGGTTCCTCCTCCCCCCATCGAGGACCCAATCCAGGATCACTCATTATGTTTACTTGTCTTATCTCTCTAGTCTCCTTTATTCTGGAATAAGTTCCTCGGCCTTTTTTTAAGAGTATAGATCAGTTGTTTTGTAGAATTTTCCTCAGTTTGGATTTGTCTGATACTTCCTCCTGGTTTGGTTGAGGTTATGCATTCTTGACAGGAATTAACTGTACAAATAACATGTCCTTCACAGTGCTTCACGTAAAGGGGCACATTATATCAGTTTGTGCCAGCGGTGGCAGTTTTACCTCTGATGACTCAGTTTAGGTAGTGTCCACCCAGGGTCTCCAGTGTAAAGTTGCTGTTTTTCCCTTTACAATTAATAAGAAATTTCAGACTATGTAAATATCCTGTCCTTATCAACCTTTGAGTCACAGGATATACTATCCATTGATGAATGTGGTAACTGCAAAATGATGATTTTCAACCTCTGTCACCTGCATGGAAACGCTCTTCAGTTCTTTTTCACTTTCACTTAGTAGTATATCATAAACATTTTTGCATGTTGCTACTTAATTATTCTTTGAAATGGTTATACCAGTATTCATTTAACCATTTCCCTATTATTGGATATTTAGGTTGTTTTCTGTTTGTTTTTTTAATTAAATTTATGGAGATAATATTTGTTAATTACAATATATAAATTTCAGGTGTACACAACTTTATGTTTTCTGTCTTTCAAGATGAATAATACTATAGTCAACAATTTCTTGCATAGAACTTTTTCCCTTCCTTTAGGTTATTTTCTTAAGCTAAATTTCCAGGAAGAATATTGTTGGATTAGAGGGCCTTTTCTCTTAAAAAAGAACTTGGGCTAGCATTAAAAAAATCCCACAAAACTCCCCCCAAAACCCAAAACCAACCTCCCAGATAACCTCTGCTTTAGACCATCTTCATCCTGCCCTTTCTGGTTCTAAAATCAGGAGGATTTTGAATCCTGCCTTGTTGCAGACCTGTGGTCTTTGACTCATTATCAGAATGAATTACCAAGTAATGGTGACCATTAGTGGGCAAGGATGTGTTGTGTTGCAAATATGTGGAGAGATTTCCTAAATAACTACTGGGCACCATAGTCAGTAAAAAGAAACATTATTTCTGTTTCAGTTCAGGGCATCTGAAAGTTTCAGTTACTCTTAGATTTTACCATCTTGTGGACTCCAGGACATCATATAGTTTTTTGTGTTTTTCAAATAAAACTTTTTGCTCATATCGTCTGCACTCCTGCAAGCATTTTTAAAGTGCTGGGTGGTTGTTATTGCCTGGCCCTGGTGTACCTATACCACCAGGAGCTGGGTTCGAGTTTCACTGAAAGCTGGAGATCTAAGTTTCAGGTAAAGAGGCTGAGTAATAATGATGAATTGTTGCTGAAAACAAGTTAGATCTTCTAGCCATCTTGCCTTCTCTTCCCTTGTAGTACCCGCTGACAAGATAATTCTCAAAATTACCAGCTGTAGCCAGAACTGTGTATCGACTATGTTTTTAGCCCTAGCCTAAAAATGTACCATAGCTTGACTAGCTCAGTTTGGGTGGCTTATGTGGTTGTGTAGAAGAGGGAGCACTTGTCTTCCTGGAGTTAACAATATTTACCAGGAAATTAGGCATAAAAGGGACACTAATGAAAACTAAAGTCATTTTGCGGACTCCCATCCCCTCTTCCATTTACCATGGAATGCAGCTTGGCACCAAAGAGAAACAACATCTAGCTTTCAGAAAGTGAGTAAGACCCTTGGCTCCCGTTTTAATTACTCTTCAAAGCTTCTTTACTTAGGGGCTTATTTTCTGGGCCTTACTGAGAGAATAACTTGCCTTAAAACAAAGGCAACTGCTGCTTATTTTGCTCATGATTTGTAAGCCCCACTGCTGCCCCTCTGCCTGCCTGCAACAAAGCTCTTGGTCCTGGACCATACCTAGTAAATAACTGAGTAAACATGGAAAGTTTCCTGGAGACTGCTTTTGGCTGGCCATATAATAGATGCTTTGTGCTAAGCATAAACTATATTTATAAAATAACTACTCTTTGGAATGTTGCAAAGTAAGAGAGAGGTTAGAGCAAGAAAGTGCATAACTAAAGTTGTGAAAAGCTAGCCAAATCATTATTATAATGGATTATGGGGGGTGGGGGGGCGCGGGGAGAGGGGGTTTGGCCCTCCATCCTTTCTAGGTGATTTATAATGAGGAGTACATTATTTACTCAGGTGGCTTTACTACTTCCACTTAAAAATAATACAGCCAACTATATCTAAAAATCATCTGTCATATGGAAAAAGTTGGACGCAATTTGAATATACATCGTTATTATTACAACTATGGAGAAAAAAATCCAATGTAAAAATCCTGGAAGGAGCTATATGACAGTGGACACTGTTATTTCTTGAATTAATGAGTATTGTCTTTGCATTTCTTCTTCTCTACTTTCTGTAATGTTGAATTGTTTTATAACTTTTTCAATCATCACATATGTGGACTCTTCTAATGATTTCAAAGTCCTACACACTTTCCCCTTTGGACTATGGAATCTGAACTGAATAGCTGTTTGACAGTTTGTATGAAATACCTTAAGTGTGCATGCCTTCTTAATTCTATGCATTTATCTTAAGGAACTATTTAGAGATATGACCAAAGATTTGTGTTAATAAATTTTCACTAAAATGTTATTATATGACTGTGAAATGGAAAACAACCTTAATACCCAGCAAGAGAGAGATAGTTAAAATATAATGGCATTTTAAGCATCGATTTGAAAAGCAATTTTTGCTAAAATTTAGCAATGGGAAAATGCTTACAAAATAATAGTTTAAAGAAGCTATAAAACTATATTCTGTATGATGTTAAAGTTGTAAAATGTACCATAAAGAAACCCAGGAAAAATAAGAAAGAGACCGAATGTTACATGTTGGAGTTATAGGTAATAATTTTTTCCCTGTTCTGTATTTGAGCTTTTCCATGATAAGCAAATACTGCTTTTGTAACTAAAAAGAAAATCCTGTTATTTGGGGGGAGAGAATTAATTGTAATTCATCTCCAAGGTCTAGTTCAGATGTCACTCTATCTTTAAAGCTTGTTTGATCACCTGTGTAGCAGTGGTCTCTTATTTGTCCAGCTCCTAGAGCACGTTGTATCTCTTTTGAGCTCCGACTTCCTGAAATTCAGATTACGGTCATTGAGCCCGTATGTGTGTCAGATACTGTGGGGATCTGGTTCCTACTCTCGAGGCGCACCTGTTGGCCTTCCCTCCAGGTGTCAGCTTCTTCATGTATCTCCCAAACTCCCTTGCAGAGTATCTTATGTAGTCAATATTTTTGAATGAATAACATACTGATATGACAGAGGTGTAACATCCTTGCATGATAGAGGTGTAATCTAAAAACCCTTGAGGACTATTCTTGGCTATTGTTTGCAAACTACTTTTTTTCTTGATAGGATATGCAAACAGACACTCAACTTTTTAAAAAATTGCTTTAAAACTTTTTTAAAAACATAAAATTTATCATCTTAACCAGTTTTAAGTGTACTTCACTAGTGTTAGGTACTTTCACATTGTTGAACAACCAATCTCCAGACTTCTTTACCAGACATGTAACCTTTTGGTTGAAGATTGTTTTGGAAATCCCAAATAGAATGAAGTCCAGAGGAGGTATCCTGTACATGCATGCCTTCAACAAGTTTAAAAAGAGAATTAAAGGAGAAGCAGTTTTTCAGAAGTAGTCCAACATCTCCCCTGTTTCTGTGCAGCCTGTGTTAGGTTAGAACCTGCTCTGTGTATGAAAATGGTATGAAAATGTCAGTGTATGCTTCTCAGCTAGTATTGCAATCATTGTGCTTTTCTTCTTAGCCAGGACAAGAGGGATGGGATTCCTTCTGAATTTTGGCTTGTGTAGGCAATTTGTGTCACTGGACTAAATAGGGCCTTCTAGCATGTTGTGTCAAAGAGTGTTGACTCTGCTCTTGACCTAGCTTCTTCTTATAGACGGTGACCTCTTGGCCTTCCTAAGTGAAACCATTAGACCCTCAGGACAGTGAAAATGTGATTGCCTCAGAGGTCTGCAGGCAAAATTGTCTTGAGGTTGTCTAAGGACCTTGTTTCTTTAAACTTATAAATCTCCTGAGCCACAGATTTCAGGAAAAGTTAGTTTAGCTTTCCTCTACTTGGAGATTTGGTACAACATGTTACTTTGTATATGATCCTTATCTTGTGCTTCCTTGTGGTTCGGGCCTGGTCAGTTTGCAGGTGGACTCCAGTCATCCCAGATTGTAAATACTGATGATGTAACTCCTCAGGGCTCCTGCCCTCGTCAGGAGTGGGACTACTCAGCCCTGGCACAGGCTGCTGTGTACCCAGAGGGTATGCCATCAATGTCTAAGGGTGACGGTTGTGGTATGGTGGCACTTAGCTTTGACTCTGCATATTTTATTTAGTACGAATGACTTAAAATGGGGTCTCTGAGTGGCTAGTGCATGAACCTAATCACCAAATCCTTCTGAGTGTAGCTGAGGTAGTCACAGACTGTAGGATAAATGGCCACCATTGTATTGGGAGGAGAGCATCACCTCCTGCACCTTCTATCACTAGCATTTCCTCATGAGCCACCTTAGCTTGGGGCTCAGCTCTCAACTATGCATTATTTTTTGGTTGTGCTAGCTCCCAGTGTTCACAGACCTCCAATTATTATGTTTCTAAAAACCGCAAACCCAGATTCTAGTTCAGGGGCGGCAGCCTGTCAGCCAAGTATGGAGTTTACATTTTTGAAAGGTCATAAAATAAAACAAACAAAACAACAAAGACAAATGTGCAGCAAAGGCCACACGTGGCCTGCAAAGCCTAAAATATTTACTCTCTGGCCCTTTACAGAAAACTTCATCAGGGATTATCACTTTGTGAGGGGTGTACATGTTTAACTAGCACATTGTTTTGTACACCTGAAACTAATTTAAAAAATATTTTAAAAGTAAACTTCATCAGTCACCCACCGTTTTCCACCTAAATTGAAAACAGGAGACTCAGATCACTAATGACATTTTCCTCTGTTGTTATTTCTTTGAGATATTTAGACTTCTTTACTGACTTTATCACATTTTTCTCTCTTCTTTACCTTTCTAAAGAAATACAACCCCTCGGACCCTGCTTTTGCTTATGCACAGCTAACCCACGATGAGCTGATCCAGTTGGTCCTCAAACAGAAGGAAACAATAAACAAGAAGGAGTTCCAGGTTCGCGAGCTGGAAGACTACATAGACAATCTGCTAGTCAGGGTCATGGAAGAAACCCCCAACATCCTCCGAGTTCCGGCTCAGGTCGGCAAAAAAGCAGGAAAGATGTGAATGGCCAGCTTACGACCCTGAGATGTTTTTGTGAGTTTGTTTCCATCTCCTCCTGAGGCCAAGGACTCGATATGCCTGAGAACCAGCGTACAGGCTCCAAGTCACCATCTCCCTTGCATGTAATCTGGCAGGAGTCAATCCTACCAATTGAAGCCTGGTTAATTATTACAATGAAATTTTTACTGTACGTTCCCAGGGTTTTATTTTTAAATGCCACTGTGCCTTTAACTATGTTGTAAATATTTTATGCCCTGACCAAAGACACGGTCATAAGATCTGATCCTGGCCCAGAGATTCAGATGGCTCCAGGGTATTAATGTATTTTAACATTGGGGTTTTCTTTCTTTGATATTGAGATTCTAAAATACGTATCTCCCAGTCATTAATCTTGGGCTGAAATGAGAAGGAGCATGCAGTCGGTGCTGGTGTTACACACGCTTTTGACTTTTGAGTAACTCAGGCGTGGCTTTTTGGTTGTAGATGCTAAATTTTGATACCATGTCAACGTCCTGAGCTTCTTAGACTTGGTCTTGTTGTTTTGAGCAGAGGAGTCTAAGAAAAAACCTCTGAGTGCCTTTTAAGTTTTGAACAAGCTGCCTTTCTAAACATCAGCTTCCACTACTCTCTAGCCTTAAAATGTGCTCGGTGCAGATCCACAGGGCTTTTGGATGGAGATATGAGAAGTAGAACAGGGGAATGGGAGAGTCACTTTGCACTCAGTTAGGGGGAGGTGGTCAGAGTCCCTTCTCTCATGACAGCAGGGTTCCTGCTGGCCAGAATGGCCCAGTCAGTGCTTTGACAAGGGGTTGGGTGACCCAAGCACTACTAAAATGGCTCCGCCAGGTATGGAATGATTTCGGTAGGATTTCTGTGGCCTTTTTCCCCCTGTGCCTTGGCTTGGCTCCCTGGTTTCTTTGTCAGCACTTCCTGGCATTTTCTCCCGTTGTTATAAAATTGTGAAGAGCAAGAAAATGATACTTATTTTTGGATTGCTGTATTTTTAAAACTAGATTAATACACATATTTTTTTTAAGTAGGACACTTGCCCCCTTCTTAACTAATAGCACCAGATTCTTCAGGTAATTTCATTGTTAGTAACCTAATACTGGAATTAGAACATTTCCATATTTCTCATTTTTTTCTGCCAGTTGTCACAGAATCTCATCAGATCTTGATCTTTTTCCTGAGGGAGGAATATCACAGGCCAAAGGGTGGGAAGGGGTGGTAATCCGAGCAGTTATTAACTTGGGAATCTCTTCTATGTATGTTCTTGTAATATTGAGGTTAAGAGGCAAGATTGTTGGTGGCAGAATTCCTTTTCAGGATCACAACCTTAGTTGTATCTGAGCACTTTAATCTGAAGGATGATACTGTAACTTGATTTACCTAATTAGCCTTTAATTATCTATAGCTATTTTATTTAATACTATCCCCCAGTACTGGGGACCACTGTAAACTTCTCAGAAGACTTGTGTTTTTGTAGTGCTATGAAATTTATTAACATACCTACAAAGAGAACTGTATATTCACTTGAACTCTGAAAATGTACATATTTGTTCTGCGACATGTTTTTTACTTGATATAAATGTATTTTGACTGTGATAACCCAAGTGCACTGGGGGCAGCTGTGCTCTGAACGGTTTCTCCTTTGAAGAGCTGGTGTGGAGACCTGCACTGTTCACGGGAGGTGGTTGGTTCAGAGATATCTGTTGCTAGGACCTCGGGGATATCCGTGCCTGGGTCAGTGTTTGAGAGGGACATGTGGGTGGAGGAGTGAATTCCTGTGCTCTGAAATGCCACTTGGGAACTCTGGAGAATGAAGGACAATTTGCTTCAAGGGTGTCTGGCTTCTACCACTGCTAGAAAAGAATTCCATTTATCGCATTCCTGTATTTCTCAAAGTAGATAACCTGAAGGTCATTAGTTAATAACTGTCCTTGAGGACTCTACTTTGGGGGAGAATTGATCTAGGAAAAGCTTTAGCCTGCTCTGAGCCATTAACAGGGGTCGGTGAGTTGGAGGGCTGGACTCCTGGAACTGGTATATGTCTGAGGGCATATGGCCATCTACACAAGGAGAGCTGGGACGTGCCTCTGGCTGCTGTGAATGCTCACCTCACTGATGGGCCCTGGGAGGAGGCTGAGCTCTGGAAAAGCAGCAGCAGCTTTCTTCTTGGCCTTGCCTGGCTGCCTCCGGAAAGAGCAGTCAGTACTTTAAGCATCACATTTAAATACCAAACCCCTTGCAAGTGAACTTCAGTTGGAGGTCAGCTCCCTGAACAAAACATCGATTATGTGCCTGGTTTGTTTCATATCATCTCATTCCTTGGACTTTGACAGGTGTCCTGCCCTCTCCTTTTATTCCTGTGTGTTCACTTCATGAGGGTGGCAGAATGGAGGAGCGAGAAAGTCTGCCCTTTGCCACGCAGAACAGCTGATGACCTGAGTGGAGAGGTGTGTGCATGCGTGCGTGCATGCATGAATGGGGTATACGTGTGTGGTTACAGCTTTACTAACAGTGGGAGCTCAAAAGGGCGTGGAGGAAGGTCCATGCCACTCAGCCACGTGCTGTATTGAAAGCCAAAGGCAGCTTAATGTTAAATTACACAGGATCTTTCCTCACTGGGTCCCTTCTCCCGATTGACCCTTTTTTTCTTTTTTAGAACTACTAGTTACTTATCCCTCAAGGCCGAAAGATTAATTGCCTTAGGTGGAGAATTTAACCTCCTAGTATGCACACCAACCTCAACTCTGGCTTCTTGGTATCTAGCATGTGAGCTACTAACATTACCTCTTCCTCCCGCCAACTGAAGGATCGCTCGGTGTTTTTGGATTATGGAATTATTTCCTGCTTTGTTACTTTGGGAATTTTGAATTTCTCTGACTTTGTTTTTAAGGAAGTAACCTAAAAGTTCCTACAACACTAAATAAAATGGTACTACCTTTCAAAGATTTGTGTCTGTACTTTAGTATGGGTGCAATAAAAATTTCTTCTGTCTCCTTAGACAACCTCTCTTGGGGGATGACCAGTGTTTGTCACTGTCTGAGAGTCACTCACCTGGATTCCTGCTGCTGCTGCCTTGCCTGGTGCCCAGGGGTCCCAATGCCCTTTCTCCTCCAGAGGATGGGACATCTTTAATCCCTTCTCTGTGACACCCCTCATCTTAGCCTGCAGGGACCGTAGGCTCTTACAGAGTGGAGAGCAAGCTGCTTCTGCCCTTGCATATCAGGTGCTCACTTCAGGCTGAACCTCGACTGCAAAAGGAAGCCCGTTTATTGAGTTCCCACTGTTCACTAAGCACGCCCATTCCCATGTCCACCCACTTGGTCTGTAGGTTTCTCAAAGTAATACCATCCATGTTTATACAGAGAGAGAGAGAGAGAGAGAGAGAGAGAGAGAGAGAGAGAGAGAGAGAGAGAAATCCTAAGTTCCTCATTACCAAGAGGTAACACCAGTGTTATTTTGATTTATTGCCCCAGCATTTTTCCTTCATACAAATAGATACACTTTCAAATGAAGTTGAGAACACACAGTACAGACTGTTTGGAACGTTTCTGCAAGCCTTTAGATAGTCTTCTGCAACAAAGACTGATTCAGAGGGAGAGTCTCCCCAGCTAACCTCCCCCACACCACAGAAGAACTGTGGCGACTACAGAGATCATCTAGGTTACTTCTGGCTCAGGTTATCATCTCAGCCACCTCTGGACCAGAATGAGGACTTGCTGGGGAGCACCCTGCTCCCCAACACGATGGAAAAGAGACACAGGGTGTAGTTACTACCCTTTGACCTTGGCCAAAACATCAGCAAGCAGAACAGGCTCCCTTAGCCCTTTAACCCAGTCTCTAAGCAAATGGTCCCGAGCCTGAGGCTTCTCATTAGGTAACATCTTTGGTGCTCTGCAGTCTTCCCCTTCACATTCAAAACTGGCTTACTTGAGCTCTGTGGGGCCAGAGTATCCCAAAGCCACAAAATCTCCTGAGGGAGAATGTCCTCACTTAGCCTTTCGATGTTTGACTATTTTACACAGAAACCTGTATCCTGAGCCCTGGAAATAGCCACCTTGGTGACACTGATAGCTCTCACAGAGTAGAGAGAAAGCTGCTTCTGTCTTTGTGTATCAGGTGCTCACTTCAGACTGAACCTTGACTGCAAAAGGAAGGCCGTTTATTGAGTCCCCACTGTTCACTAAGCACTGACCTGTCTATTTCTAATTCCCATCAAAGGTAGATAAGATTTCCATTATGCAGATGAGCCTCAGGTTTCAGAACTTCAGTTTGCCTAGGGTCACAAAGTGAGTAGTTAAAAAAGAATTTGAACTCCTCGCCTGTCTGACTCAAGAACACAACATTGATACTGGAGATTTTTACATTTTTTAATGATTAAAAAAAATCTAAATGACACATTGAATTCAAATTTCAGTGTCCACAAAGTTTTATCACAGTACAATCATGCTCATTCATTTATGTCATTTTCTATGGCTATCCATGTTACAACAGCAGACTATCTTATTGTAGTTGCAACAGAGACCTTATCGTCCACCAAACCTAAGTATTTGCTATCTGGCCCTTTACAGAAAAAATTTGCCAACCCCTAGTCTAGGATCACTGGGTGCCAAGGAGAGTGTTCTGATTCACTTGGAATCCTGGAGGGTTGGAGCAGGCAGGGAAAAGGGAGGCATATAACTCAATCCTCGCTCAAGATGAGGCCAGACAAGCCACAGCCTCCCTGAGGAGGGAGGTTCCACGTAAAGTAACTGTTATTCATGCTCTCAGTCTATGCAGCAAACGAAGGTCTATGACCACCTCCTTAAAATTATCAGATGGCTTTGCTCTTAGGAGTTCAAGAAATTATACACATTAATCCTCAGTCCAGGAAAGGGAAAGTGTGTTGGGGTCACAGAATAAATAACGCAAAAGGGGAAAGTGAATATGAGTGAGGGAAGTTATTGGCACCAGGATTTAGTAAATCCTGGCCATGCCCTGTACTGTGGCTGTGTCACCCGTGAGTGTTGGAGAAGAATGAGTGTCCACTGCAGAGCTGAGGTGGTGGGAGGGAAATCCTGTCAAAAAGGCTAGAGAGCCAACTGCCAGGGTTGGTGTGAAGAAGAGAGTGTGTCCTCAGGGCTCAGTGTGAAGCTGGTTTACACTGAGTTTCAGTCAACTGACCTGGGAGGGGCCCAGGGGGTGAGGCTGGGTTAAGGACCTGAGAGCAGCCCAACTCCCTCTGTTTACTTGCGCTAGATAAGAATGTTCCTGCCTCTGAAAAATTCAGTCTGTGTTGCTTCTGAGAGACCCACCTACAACAGGTATTCACAGGAGTTGAACAGCTCTTTAGTGAGTACCAGCCCTCAGAATAGGAGGTGCTCCCAGGACACAGGGATGAGAAAGCCAGATCATTTCCACAGAGACTTGCAATCAAAAGGAAAGTCAGGCAAACAACCAGAACACACACATCTAACTGAGGGAAGACTGGCAGAGAGCTTCCTTCAGGTCCCAAGCATCAGTGCCTTCCCCTTTGGTCTCCTCTAGAAAGAGCTCTGGCCTTAAGGTCGGTATTTCCCATGTGGACCACGGCTGGGGGCCTCTTTCCAACAGCCTTCCCTCCCCAGTAGCTTTCTGGGCGCTCAGCCCATTCTGGGTGCTCAGCATTCTAAAAGCTTGCGTGCCAGGTACCATGTGAACACTGGTGATACAGACACAAGAAACATGGTTCCAATTTCACAGAAGGGGAGTGGGGTTGGGGGGTGGGGGAGAGGGGTTTGAAGGCATATGTTAAACAGATAATCATTATCATTGAATGATGGTAACTCTTAGAAGAGTTTATAGCAGTGGGAAGGGCACCGAGGATGATGTATCTGTCCTGATTTCTCAGAGGAAGGCAAATAGATTTCCTAAATAAATCGATTTCTTCTTGAGAAAGGGGAGAACGCATCAACACACTCCCCCCCACACACACACACACACTCACATGTCTTAGTAAAGTGCGCCATCTTCTGGCTTGGGTCCTGCCCACCTCCCAGCCTGTTCGTGTATGAGGGCAAAACTCTTATTCTATTACACACTTGTGACCGGAAAAGAGAATCACCTCGTCACTTCTTACAGTTGCCGGTTGGAGGATCATAAAACCGCTCTTCTACTTTGAGTCGTGTTTGGGGAAAGGAGAATTTTAAGGCTTCTGTCATGGGTTATTACATGCCTGTATTACATTTTATTACATGCCTGTAATAAAACCTCACTTTAAAAAAATGCAGGGGCCGGCCGAGTGGCTCAGTTGGTTAAGAGTTGGCTTAAGAGCACGAGCTCTGAGCAACAGGACCGCCGGTTCAATTCCCGTATGGGCCAGTGATGCTGTGCCCAAGCTGAGCTGTCGCTGAGCTGTCGCTGAGCTGTCGCTGAGCTGTCGCTGAGCTGCCAACAGGTGTCAGGATGGCTCAGCTGATGTAACAACGAGATTGCCTGTTCAAACTAAGACTGAACTCGGCACCTTGAGCTGAGCTACTGCTTGGATGGCTCAGTGGATAGAGCATGTGCTCTTAACAACAAGGCTGCTGGTTCAACTCCTGCATGGGATGGTGGCTACGCCCACTGGCAACTAAGACTGAACTTGGCACCTTGAGCTTACACGAGCTGCCAACAGGAAGCCAGATGGCAACTGGCGCCCTCCACAACGAAGATTGAAGAACAACAACTTGTCTGTTTCCCTTCCCCAATTCCCCAACAGTGTTCCCCTTCCCCAATTCCCCAATAAAATCTTTTAAAAAAATGCAGTTAGGTTCAAGATATGCACAGCATTAGGGATGAGAGGAGTCTGATGCTGTTCTTGTATGATGACATGGAGAACTACTCCCAATGCCAATTATGTTGTTTTCAGGAACATGTTTCCCTCCTCAGTAAGGATGTCGGCTATACTGTCTAAAACTCAGAAATTCTGAGGTGTGTGTGTACACACGAGCATGCAAGTGTATCTCAATATTTATCTGCTGGACAACCAGAAATAAACCCTCATCACATACCTGACACTATTGGGGAAGTCTAGAGGAGAGGGGATTTGGAATGCCCAAGGCTGATGATGCTTGGGTTATAAACAAAATGCATTGTTTATCGGATATGTCATTGTTCCGCACTGTGGTCCAGGAAACTCACAGTTTCATGAGGCATAGAGGGAGTCCTTTGTACCTGACCACTTATTATAGCTCTTTCAAAAGAACCTATAGCTCTGTCTGATCAGATCCCTTTCTTTTTGAGGTTCAAATGCTCTGTTTGAGGACCCACTAGATACATGGTCATTGTGTAGCCTCAACTCCAGACTAATAAGTACCATTTTTCTTCTGAAATTTTTTCCAGCTCTAGGATGCATAATAATGTATTGCTCTTTTAAAGAAGGCAGCTGTAACCTGTATATTATTCCTCAAGGGAGTATCCCTATTTGTTAAGCAGCTGACAAGATACCTTTAACTTTCAGTTCATTGTGCATAGGAGCTGTCCAATCATTTTCTGTTCTGTGTGAAGAGCTTATCTCACTCTCCGTCCCAACTCCTAATTCAAGGTTGAAACTGAGCCCACAGTAGCTTCTAAAATCTGCTAATGCCAGAGGCCTGCCTGGAATTCTCCATCATCAGCCTGAGAAACAGAAATTCTCCTCCACTCAATTTCAGCACTTGCCATGATGACTCCCATCTGCTTTCTTGGAGTCATTAGAGGACAGGCCTCTGGCCATCCTTGTCATTTAACTCAGTTTTCTTATTTTTCAGACACAACTGATTCTAAAACTCTCAGGCATTAAAATCTGTATTCTTAGAGTGCAATTAGGACTTATTTATAAGAAAATACACTTTTTGGTGACTTTTAATTTATACTCAAACATCACATACATAATTGTTAATTTTGTCAATGAGAAATGTCCAAACCTGTAGAGAATTTTAATGAGTTTATTTGAGCCAAACTGATGA